TAAACTTTCCGTCTTCGATATAGTCCCTTTAAACTTTCCGTCTTCGATATATTACCTTTAAACTTTCCGTCTTCGATATAGTCCCTTTAAACTTTCCGTCTTCGATATATTACCTTTAAACTTTCCGTCTTCGATATAGTCCCTTTAAACTTTCCGTCTTCGATATATTACCTTTAAACTTTCCGTCTTCGATATAGTCCCTTTAAACTTTCCGTCTTCGATATATTACCTTTAAACTTTCCGTCTTCGATATAGTCCCTTTAAACTTTCCGTCTTCGATATAGTACCTTTAAACTTTCCGTCTTCGATATAGTCCCTTTAAACTTACCGTCTTCGATATATAGTCCCTGGAAACTATAGTCCCATTGAAAACGATTATTTACGATGCTATACGAGGTTATAAGCATCTAGAGGTATCGCATTATTCGACAGACAATGCGTTCGAATCTCGCAACGGAAACTCTTATACTATCATCCGTATCTCCATTAGTCAAGTCATTGTGACATAAAGCTCCCACTCTACTACGTACGGTCGTGCTTCTCTCTAGATACAATCTCAGTCGACTGGAAAATGTCATGTAGAATGTGTATAAAATACGATATAAAAGAGGTTAAATTGATGGCTGCATGCACGTCGCGTGTGTGTAAGAGATATCATCGTTATATATATGCGAAACCGTATTCACTGAAAGAATTTACGATAATCCAACGCGCACGCGCAATATCATATTTATGACATCGCATGGATGGATATGGCCAGTAATAAATCACGCATGTAGAGTATCACGCATTATAACGTAAATGTATCACGTACGATATATCATCGCCACGACCACGATGTATTAACTGACGGCGATAAATAAATTATTAATAACAAAATATGAATATAATAATAAACATGATGATAATGTAGTAATAATAATGATGACGATGAATGAGATTGGCACGCACGCACAACTTTCGACTATTAACATTAATCGTTGGCGTCTGCCACTACTTACTGCTACTTACTAACATTTTGACATAAGTATAACACTGTTCACAGATTCTGCTATCGAGGTCTCGCACCTGCCTTACTAATGCAATTAGTTGCATAACATATCACATATCAATGCATCAATTTGTTCTTCACAACTATAGGCAAGCGTCTTACTTAAATCAACCGGAAGCTCCTTTCTTCTCCCCTTACCCTCTCCACGTTTAGCTTCCGTTTCCTCTATATCATCCCTTCACCATCCAGCTTTGTCACATCATTCTCCAACTCCTCTTTCGTGACTTTTTGCTAGATTTATTCTCCTTCCTTTGCCGCCATTTACTTCCCGAACGTACATTTCACTCTTTCGCCTTCCATTTTTATGTTCGCTTTGACTCGATCACTTCTTTCTTTTTCCAACGTCCTTTTCTCTTTCGTCCTCGAGCCCTACCTCTTTTCAAATCACGATGTGTGGCGTCTGTTTACCCTTAGTCATCCGTGTTATATCTGACTTACACGCGCAACATAGTAAGTTGATAGATGTATTTACATAATCTGAAACTGTTCATTAACCTTTACACTTTGTACAATATGCACATGCCTGCTATACAGGAACATAAATTATATAAAATAAGATAATATGATGTCAATGTTGTTCATGTGTATTAGTAAAATGACCAATTTGAAATCAACTCGCTTTTACCAAACCAAGTGCCATATATATTGGCACCTGATAAGGTATATATATACTTCACCGGTCTCAACTAGAACAAATAATTTAGTAAAAGCGAGTACAGTTAAGCTCGGTTTACTTACTTTACTACACTACCGACTTTACGTTGGTGAATTGGCGAGTTGGACCAATTTCGCAATTCGGCAACTCCGAGTTGGCGAAAAAAGAACACGTTCTAATCTCCCAACTAGTTGCTATCGATCGGTTGGTCGCGCAAAAATTGCGTTTACACTGCCGATTGCCAGTTAAGCACGACGCACACACCCGAGCAAAACGGACAATTTTGTTTTCCAGCGTTTCGCGTTCTGCTCGGCGAGCAAGCGCACACGCCACCCGGCACAGCACACAGCTGAGCAAAACATACAGAAACACTGCGTACAGCGCCGCTGTCACATGACATCAAAAATAGCCATCCAATGAACATCCAATTTTGTGTGTCATGTGATATTTTTAAGGATATTGATTGGAGACCGTCTGTGGCGTTTCGCTGTGTAGCAGACCGATTGACGCACACACCCGAGCAAAACGTACGCTCAGGCGAAAACACGCTCCGCGAATCAAAGATTGCTTGTTCAGCGAAACACGCTCAGCTGAGCAATGTTTTTTGTTTCGGGAATCCGCACACAGCCACGAACATCGAGCGAAACGCGTTTTGCTCCACGTTCCGGTGTTTTGCTCGGGTGTGTGCGTTGGGCTTTATGCTTTACAGAGAACGCGGCCCAAGGTGACGGTCGCATGATAGGAGCTGAGGCAAATGAGACATGAGTGTGTGGGAAACTGCAAAAAATTGCGGCTATACAATACGGGTTATTCGTTTTGAAGCAGGGGTGTCCACGACAACCCGTATAATACACCGTCTACTGATTACACGGGTTCCTTGTCATATATATATATATATGTAATAATTATCAAGAGCGGATAAACCTTATGTATTATTAAGTTCTTGATATAATATATATATATATATATATATATATATTATATATATATTATGATGATATTAAACGTGATGTGATGCAATGCTTACAAAATCAGTATCGTTGACACTTCAGGAAACAACTGCTAGTGAAATGCGAATTGCGTGTTGTGGTTCTTTTGTGTTTCTAAAAACTGATGCTAAGCCTAATGAACTTTTATTCAGTAGAGGCTCGCATTAAAAAGCTCATTAAACGAAATGTAAATCCTCTGGCTTTTTCAGAACGCCATGTCACACGTCATTGCATTAGCCTGTGTTATGTAGCGAATCTAGCTTAACGGTACATCGCAATTAGAAACATCATTAAGCTTAATACATAACTCATTGTGACTGCTTCTTTAAACAATTAAAACGAGTTGACAATTATAACGTGTTTCCATGTAGTATCGCTGCAGTAAGTAAATAATACTACAGGAGAAAAAAAAAATATATAGTCACTAGTTATCTACTCTGATAATATATCGGTATACAGTATATCGATATACAGTACATCGATATATAGTATATCGGTATACAGTATATCGATATACAGTACATCGGTAGTCAGCAATCAGTAAATCAGGTGATCCGTAAATCCGTATATCAGTATTAGTAGGGCTAACATGTCATAGAACACTCGCACAATATGTGCACCGATCTCAAATTAGATTTAGATCTCATTTCAGATCGGTATTACTGATGCAGATACACATTTGGTGTTATGCAGGAGTAGTACCGGTAAGTATCAGAAGGGTCGACAAAATATTAAAACGGTTCGTAAAAACATGAGAAATCCTCGCTTTAAAAGACGTAACAGTGTGAAAAATTACAAGTAACTGTTTGGCTGTGATCGTTTGTTAGACTTACAGTTGAGAACGACTTCGATGAATGATGTGTGAGTGTTCTATGACATGAGAGTCGGTAGTGTAAACCCCATGCATGAGAACAGGTTGAGATGTTTTTGGAGGAAATATTTCATTGAATTGTCATTTTCTATGAACAACTGTCACCGAGTTTCGGTACGCATGACAATAGGGTAAAACCCTTTACATTACATAGATACCCTGCAATATTTATCTGGAGTTCCGTCACTTCTGTGTATTTTTGACGTACTTTTCCTGACTTTTTATAAAGTTAAAATTAAAAATGGCGTCGATTTAGACAAGAAAAAACTTTATCCCCCCTAAAAAAATATTCGTTTTTTTGCATCGATCTCAAAAATGACCAAAATGAAAACCAAAACCCGGAAATCCGCGAATCCGCGAAAAATTCTCATGCCCGAAATCCAGCGATAGACTTACAGTTGAGGACAACTTCGATGAGGCAACCGTCGGTGATCTCGGCCGGAGACTTGATGAGCTCTAGCAGGTTGGTCGACGTCGGCACATGCTTGAAGAACAGCAAGGATTCGCAGATGTTGATGAAGGAATACTCCGGAAACTGCAAAGGAAAAAAACAGATATACGTCATCGATCCATGTGCACGTGAAAGATACGCGTCATCGATACGTGCGTGCGTGAGAGATACGCGTCATCGATAAGTGCGTACGTAAGAGATATACGTCATCGATATATGCGCACGTGGGAGATATACGTCATAGAACTATGCGTACGTGAGGGATATGCCGTCATCGGTTTATAAGGACATGGAAGAAATGCGCCATCGATACGTGCGGATATGAGATATATGCGTTATCTGTGATGTGTGTGTATCTGTGATGTGTGTGTGTGTGTGTGTGTGTGTGTAGCGTGCGTGCGTGCGCGTGTGCGTGTTTGTGTGGTTTCTTAAACTACTGTTAGTTTCTCCACGGTCTTCTACATTAATAAATACCAGCTGGTTATCGAGCGAGCAGGGCTAGCTAGTTTCACGGCACGTTTCACACATCTCGAACAGATGCGAAAAAAATATTATTTCTGAATTAAACCATCGCAACAGCAAACAGCCCGACAGCGAAATGCATTTCACCGCCACAATTAATGGATGTTAAAACTGTAATTTAAACCGGGTAATGATAACGAGCCTGCTTAATTAGAATCCACATAAATCTGTTATCTCTCTCTCGCAAAAAAACGAGGAGCAAACCGTGGATCAGCGTCGCCATGGCTGAATAGCAGCAAGCGAAATTGTACACGTGCGCAATGAAATGCGAATATAATATATGATAATTCTTCTTCTATTATTATTCACTCCTGATAATGTGAAGCCTCTTGACTGATAACAAGACTACGTACCTATATTTATAGAGAAATTAATCATAATGCAGCTGAATCCTCATGCCGAGGCAAATATAGCCCACCAGGTGCCGTAAATACAAAGCAAACATAATGGTTCTTTCCATAAAAAAGCGCATGGAAACGTACCCGCAAAGACGTATGTGTATCTCTCGCTCTCTCTCTCTCTCTCTCTCTCTCTCTCTCTCTCTCTCTCTCTCTCTCTCTCTCTCTCTC